AATTTTAAGCCGCTACATTATCCATGACAAACTGCAAAGAATCATATTACCCATACTTTCCTGCAACTTCCCCGAAATATATGTTAATTAAATACGCCGTCGCCCATTTGGTACTACTATAAATTGTAAGCAAATTGTAAATTTGGACATACCAAAACGCTGTTTTCTGACCATCAGAATTCTGTCAAAACTTCCTTTTTTCGTCATTCGGAAATTTTTGGCCTACACCCCCCCTATGCATGTTAGCTACGGCCCTGCTTGACTTGTAAGTTGATGGGCAGGTGGCGTACATGACCAACATAACTTGGCATCAGAGCTGGCAGATCAAAACCACCACCCCCCTACCAGATCATGCTGGATCCATCCCGCCACCATGACTGTTTAATAGTGTTGGTGCTAATTAAACAGTGCAATCTTGAACGGTCTGTGCCAGGCTAGACGTAAGGGGGTCCACTACCAAAATTTTTTTTTCTCTATCTTTTACTACTATGAAGCTCTACTATTAATATGTTGTTAGGTTCGACACCCTGATAAAAAAAATGTGTTGCTGCAAAACATTGTTGCCATGGTTACCGGGATAAAGCACCCCCCATCGTGAAAATTGATACAATCTTGTATGCAGGATTGCTAGATAAGCATTAAAGATAAAATCCTGGAATAACTTTTATTTACAAACTAACAAGATTGTCTAGGAGTTAAACCTAAAATATCAGCATTGTGTCAATAACAACATTTTTGCCAAGCAATTATTTGACATGTATACAGCAGTCCACAAAGCAACTGTTACTAATTCCAAAACTATTCAACTTACTCTAAATCTTTTTGGTTTAACTCCTAGAGCAATACATGGTGAGTTTATCCTGAAAATTTCATCAAGATAGCTTAAATCGTTCTTGAGATATCCTGCGCGCAATCATGGAAATCGGCAATTTTTGCCAATTTGAGGAAAACGTGTTTAAAGTTAAACTTTCATTTTATCATCAAGAAAGCCGCCTTAAAATGGCATTATAGTACTAAAAGTCAATAACTACCATTTCAGAATGCTCCTGCCTTGTATGTAGTACCCTCTTTCTCTTTTGTATTGTCCTCTTTCTTCTTTTTTTTGACCACACAGGATCTTTCTCCTCTTCTTCACCACCAGAGTGTTTCTGTGGTCAGCTTTCTTTACCCGTCTCTTGTCAGCTTTCCTAACCCCGTATTCAAAAATTGTCCTGGCACCAAACCAAGTTCATTAAAGATTTTTGTTGCAGCCTTGGAACCAATATTGAAGTGGGCAACTGCATCATATGCACCAAACTCCAGCACATCCTTTTGTTTCTTTCTTCAGTTTCCATAGTGCCGTCCCAACATGCTTCTGGACATGACCGACACATTCCTTCTTTTCCACATGTATGTTTTCATAAGCATTTTCCACTTCATTATACGCTTTGCTGTCACCATCTCCAAAGTACTCTGTATATTGCAGCTTACGTGTCTCCTCGCTCCTTCCATATATCCTCTTGATCCCTTCTGTTTCCATAGATGGCGCCGATCCTTGATAGTTCGCCTTGCATGTAGGAGCAAAAGCGTTTCATCGATGCATGTCCTTGTCCAATACTTCTCATGGCATAAACAAATCTTCTGTTGATGTCAAAAGAATGTTGTACCTTCTTTGAAGTATAAAAGGTATAAACCCATCCACAATCTTTACAAAGCACTGCCTTTTCGCTCACGTGGTTCATCCTCTAAGACAAGGCATTAATTTCCACACTCTTGACAAACCATCTGAGTAAAAAGTTCACCAAGCAATCCCATGAAACGGTACCCGGTTACATTTGGCTTACTTTGCGTCCCAAATTGTGGATTTTGGGTGCCTATTTTTCGAGCAGAAGCGGATTCGGTCGATGTCAATTGCTCAGTCAGCTATCATTGTTCCGTTTTCTTGATCTTGAACCTTGTCTTGGCATTGTAAATGTACAATTTAATAAGAATCGAAAAACAGCTATACCCAAATCCAAAAATATCCAACAGCAAACAACACAAAATTCACTTGAAAGTTCGATCACCAAAATAAGCTTCAAAACGAAGCCCACAAATTCCAACACAAATTTTCAGCGGCTTTTTCAAATAGGCAACATACCCTACTTCATGTAATATATGCAAAATAGTTACAAAATGGCGTCTGATGGTTTTTATACGGTTTTTACGAACAAAACAGCCGTTGCTAAGGGCGTTGTTAGGGCAAAAATATGCCAAAGCCTTAGGAATTTTCTCATTTTCTTGGATTTCAAGGTTTTTTTACGGAATAAAAACCCACACATACGATTAACAACAGTTTATAGTATATAAATCTGTGCATTATAAAAATTCACAAATTTCAAAATAAAAGTCAAATTTTTGCAATAATTTGTACTTTCCGCATGGATGTTCAAGTTCTGTGGATTATGGAATATAAACTAGGCTGTTATTACAATTTTCAAAATTGAAGTTGAAACTATAATTAACAAAAGTCAATGGTATGTCTTCTGTTTCACTTTATGTGTGGTATGTGTCAAAAATTTTTTAACTTGGCCAATCTATTTTTTACTTTTAGAGCATAATTCACTGAAACATATAGATATTATTTAAATATTCATTAACTTTTTACTTTTAGTCTTTTATATAAACTATGTTTGAGAAAAATTCTGTCATAAAATCTTTTTTCAGATTAATCAGATAAAGAATAAGATACCTGGCATTTCAGAATATAAGTTCTACCAACCAAAAAGAATAAAAAGATCAAAAAACAACAATAGAAAATATAGAATATAAACTCCATTTAAACTCCACTCCTTAGCTTGGCGCCATATTGAATTTCGCGGCCGCGCCGGTAAAGGCCTGGGGACCAGGTGCTCTACCGTATCTGAAATAGCCTTCACCACACAAAGACAGCGCTTCCACTTTGAAGAAAATTTCCTTTTAAAAGGAAATTTTTGCAAAATGAAGGAAATTTGAAGGAAATAAATTTTGAAGGAAATGTGAAGGAAATTCTAGAAGAACGAAGGAAATTTGAAGGAAAAAGCAAAATTTTTCCAAAATTGGTAATATTTAATATATTTTGAAAATAAAGCGTAAAATAAGCCTCAATCTGGCCACAAGTTAACAGAGAATAGAAATTGAGAATTTATATTTCATTATTCAATTTTGTCTCTCTGAATGACGTCATTCTGTTTATAGTTTTTAGTTATCTCCAGGGGTGTTGGAAACCTTTTTAGTTGGGGGGGGGTTAATGTTTTTGGGCCCTTCACTTTTTAAAAATAGTCAGTAATAAACAAAGTTAAATGATATTATTTCAGTTACGCATGTAGACAAAACAACTTGAGATATTTTATGACATTTTGTTACAATGTTACCTTTAGAACTCTGTAAATCCCCTTCTAAAGTGCAGGAAATGGCATTTCTGAGACACTAGTTTAAAATTTTCCCGGAGGGCATGCCCTCAGAATGTCACCTGCCATCACCCCCCTTCGGCGGGCACTAAGTGTGCCCCCCCCCACACACACTTTTACAGCCACTCCGACGCCCCCGGTTATCTCACTTATCTGTATAGAAATAAAGTCATATAATTGTATTAGACTTTAGAGCAATGATAAAATTGAACATCCGGATGATTGTTGTGTTGAGAAAAGGCTATTTTGAGGTTGATTTTGGAGAATATTCAACGTAATTTTATTTAATTTTATAAAGGAAATTTGAAGGAAATTTCACAATTTTTTGAAGGAAATTTCGGTCAAAATAAGGGAAAAAAAGGGATTTCTTTGCTTTTCAAAGTGGAAGCACTGCACAAAGACCAAGCGCCAAGTTCAATCCTTCGGGAGCAAACATTCAAATGTGAATGATATTTATTCAAATTTTCTACTTATAAAGTTGCAAAGACCTAATAAGATACATGGAATTTGTTTTGAAAGGTATGTTTATTGTGTATTTACTTATTTGTGTGCGGAAAGTTACTTGATATACTGTATAGTTATATTTTTAAATCGAAGACGAAGGCCTGTATTTTAGTCGCTTCGCCGCCGATTTGCCGATCTAGATGTTAAGTTTTAATTTTCGATTAATTTGTATTAGCAGAAGTCCATAAGTCTAATCTACAGTCTCTACTTATTTGTGTTGTTAGCCCCGTTTACACGAGAAAATTTTATTTGACAAATTTCATTTCATCAAAAGCATTTGTTGTTCAAATAAATTTGTCACAAATTTATCATCTACACGAGCAAAATATCTCTGACATATGAAATTTGTCAAATAAAATTTGCTCGTGTAAACGGGGCTTTATTTATGTGATATACATGTATGTTGTATTTCGTGTTAAATATGTATACTTTAATTAATATATATAGGATCTGTTTCAAATGCAGTCACATTTGACAGCATTGCAATAGCCCATCTAATATTACCCAGTGTATGGCTTGTGCTTGCTATGGTAGCCCTCCTATCGGCTATCAGTCATCCTAAAACATGTGTAAGGGGCTGCTTATATAGAGGCGAGCCACCCAGGTAACCTGGCTATAGCTCGCTTTCCCTGGATGAATGTCTGGTTACATGAGCCTCTTTAGATGGGCAGGCTTGCCAAAACAAATCACCCAGACTGAGTTATATAGTAGAAGCACATTTCGCAATAAACTGAACCAACAAGTGATCAATCACTCATACTTTTGCAGACAGTCTCGAAATGTATAAACTGACAAAACCAATCACAGAGATATTTTTACCCAGGGGCAATACTGTGCCAAATCGTTGGTGATTGTATATAATTTATATGGAAAATCCTAGCTTGGCATTAGCAAGATTTTGGGACAATGAATTTTGGGTCAATTATGCACCTCGATTTTAAACACCCTTTACCAGAAAAGTTGTATTCATTTGGATGATGTTAGTTCAATTGCATGCTTACATTAAATGAGTAAAAGCATTTGAATTTTGTATTTCTTGCTTTGTAAATGCAAACAACCAAAAATAGCAAATTCATTGTCAATCAATCAATCAATAATTTTTATTTTGTGTGTGTTGTTGTTATGTACTCAGGTGAATATATGATGTTGGTGATGTTACTCGGAGTGTGTATCCACACCGGGCAAGCTGAAAAGCTTGGCCACAGTGGAAATCGAACCTGTGACCGTGGCCAAACTAACTTTTC